TATATATATATATACAAGGAAAAAAAGAAATATAGTAGTTACTTTTGACTTCTTTGTTTTTGCTGTTGGTTTCTGATGAAACTTAAGCCTTACTTTTTATACTAATGGTACTAGTGCACTAAATTTCTATTTATCTAAATAATGCAGATCAGAACGTGCATAAAGCAAACAATGTCTTATAACTACCATAATTTAACTGGCTTTCTGACTAAGGCATAAGAGCCTTAACATAATTCCCACATCTTCTCAATTTGAACACTGTGAGAGAAACTTTCAAACTGAGTAGTTTACGTGAAATTTTATACTTCAGAGAGGGGTAGTAAATAAATACCAAAAGAGGGAAACCTAGAGAACAAATTACACGAGGGGAGATTGAAGATTTTTAAAAAATATTTCCTTATAAAATTAAGAATTTAAAACAATATAATATCAAAATTTGGTTTATTATCTACATTTTGGTGTCAAGTTTATTTATAAACATTGAAAATAAATTACATTAATTGAATTTTGAACATAACTAAAACATCATAACATTTTATACTAAGTTCTTGTTCTCTGCACATAAAAAATACGTAGAAAATGCACAAATACAATTTTTTGGATTAAAATATTCTTTAAAAAGAGTATTTAAAACCTAACTACTAAACACAAGTGCGTACCAACACCACTTTGTTGCCAATTTTTAGCAAGTGGTTGTTTAACAAATCTACTGCTGAACTCATAACTGCAATGTTAAAAACCTAAAATGCTTGTATGACAATTACACACTTAATGTTTATTTAACAATGAAAAAATAAATCTTGTTAATAATAGAAACTCTGTTTACAGCTCTGCAAGAACTCAATTTAATATTTCAATAACACTGTCATAATACTTTTATGTGAGTGTTTGATTGTATGCAAAAAAGGACAAGACAAGGGGTTTTGAAGGAAAGGGACCTACTTTTCTTTCTCTGCACGAGCAGATACGGTCTCTTTCTGTGCTTGCTTCAAGTTCTCGGACCACTTCTGGTGATCTTGTTGCCATTTTTTCTTTTCTATCTCCATCATTTGAAGTCCATTGTGCCATTCCTCCTCGATAATCTAAAACAACAGTACTTAATGCAAACCAAAATACACTACAGAATTTGTGTTTTAAGTTAACATATTTTCTGTCTTGCCTGGTAGTAATATAATAGAGAAGATTTTTGAAACATTTTTACTGTCATGGCAACTAATGCCGTCTGCAACTTCCATAATAAAAATATCAAAATAAGTTGTAACTTTTAATTTCTTAATACATCGTGTAAAAAAGAAATTATACATAAGCATTAAAATTATGTGGCTCTAAATTATTTAATAATTTACCAGTACAAATAAGAGGTGAAATATAGATTAATGAATGTTAAAATATTATATAATTATTTATTTAATATAGAAGATGTAGAAACTTTACTACATGGTTGAAAATAGTATTTAGAAAGCTGTATAAAAATTAATATATTAACACGTTACTTTGATATCCTTTAAAACTGTGCTTTTGGACGATCCAAAGAAAATGTGTAGTTTTTGTTTAATAATAATAAAAATACTTAACCCTTGTGCATTTCAGACATGAGGAAAGAAAACGTGTACTTTAAGTAACTCATCAAAATAGATACAGCAAAAACTATGTTTAGTTGTTAAAAGAAATTATGCAAAAAAAAATAAAAATAAATATCTTTTGTATCTTTGATAAAATGTTTAGGACTCTACTTTTCTACAGGTGACATCACTGTATAATGGCATTACCCAAAACATTTTATCAGAGAAAAATAAACATTTCTTTTTTAGTTTCAGGGAACTTTTTTTTTAAACAACCTCACATTTTTTGATATTTTACCACATGTATTTTCCATTGTTCTTTCCAGCACAGATATATTATAATTATGTCAAGTTTGGATTGTTTTAGAAATTTTGCACAAAACTAGAAAAACACTATCTATACACAATAGTCCCTAATTTTGAACTGACAGACTAACAGGAAGGCAGCTAGTCAAAAGCACTTACATCAACTCTTGTGCTACTCTTACCTAACCAAATAGTGGGATTTAACTATCACAGTGCACCCACAGCTCCTACATGGGGAGTGTGGTTTTTGCAATAACGGCCAACAAACCATGAGCCCTCAAATTCAATTTTCAAATATACTAGCCACTAGGCCATGCCTGGTCCTGTTAAGTTTTGATAGAATGCCAATAGTAATAAATATAAAAATATATTTATAACATATATTTTGAACTATCTTATAACTTGTAAATCCAAGTTTATACAAAATCATAGCTACCTTAATAATTAAAAATAAAATAAAATAAACTTATTTTATGTACATACCAGACTTTCCCCCTATATATTTATATTTATTATTTACTTCCAGCTGTGTGCGGAAATTAATAAAACTCCTGGCAGGGATTTTAGAAGGAACATCTTATTAAAAAATTTATATGTAACCCCAAAGGATCTAACATCTGACAAAGCTAACAAAAGAATTAGGCTTAAAGTTTGACAAATTACTGATTACACTTGGTACTGGTTAATAAAATTATAATTAGAAAGAAAATTTAAAATATAATTTCAGACATGTATGCAACATAAGACAGACTATGGCACTGATCATATAAACATAACCCAGAGAAGTCTGAGTAAAATATATAAATTTCTAATGCTGAAAATGCCTTTTCCAGTTTGAACTTGACAGTTTCACAAAACATGTTGATATATATTTGATATTTTGTTTTTTCATAATTCTAATCAATCTTCAAGTTTTAAAATGCAATACCCAGTTTTACGACCAATTATAAAATGAATGTGCTGAACATAACAAATTCTTTAATAGACTCTGACCAATCAAAGCTTTAATTTTGCTATCAAGAAACTTGATATGATGTGGCTAATATTTCACATTCCCTTCGATTTCCAAGCATATCACACAAACGTAGAATAGTGCTAATCTAAAACAAACACTGGTTTCATTCTCACCTTGGCATACTCTTTAGCTTCTTCTACTTCCTTCTTCAGTTTGTCTGTTTCAACTGCAAATTTTTTTTGCAATTGAATAACTTTATCTAGAGCATCAACTAGCCGATCCTCAGTTTTCTTCTTGTCTTGCTCTAGGCTACTGACAAGTTCTTGCAGTTCTTCAAGTTCGTCATCTCTTTTCATTAAGCCTATTGATACTTTTTCTACCTAAGAATACACATAGAGGTTTAAAGATTAAAAAAATCAGAATATGTATATATACAAATATTGTTTTACTTTCAACCAGACAATGCGTGTTATCTTTTCTGTAAAACAGACATTAAATTAATTCTTTATTTATTATTATCAAAGTAACTAACATTTAACAATTAGAAATATACTACATTAGATAAGGTTAGATAACAAAAAAATTGAAATAATAAAAAAATGTTCACAAAGTAAGCTCACAAGAAACCAGTGCCTTACATAATTTAGTAGGGTTAAGTGAGCTGAACAATTGGTAAGTTATCTACAACATGTGTGGAAGAATTAGTAGTTAGACACAGTTCAAAGGGCAATAAAACAATAGAATTTAAGTTGAAACATTTGTATACTGTTATGAGGCCTAAGCTATTTAGAGTAAACAAATGAAGTATCATGTTGCAATTTGAAGTCATTCTAAAAAGAAAAAGGGATCATTTAGACTTATTTCATATTCCTAATGGTGATTACAAGATTGGTCAATTTTGTACAGAGTTAGGATACAGAAAATAACACACAAAATATAAAGTTTTACTGCAAAAAAAAACGTATTCAATTCATTTAGAAGATTTCAAAGATTACATAAATGAAATTTGACAATTTTCATTTGAATAAGAGTATTTTTAATCTTAACATGAAAATCACTTTAACACTAGTAAGCACTTTGACTCTATATATTCATGGAGAAAGTTTTAGTGAAAATACTTTATTTAAAATTCTGATTTTTTTTTGTCCACAAAAAAACTCTTAATGCTTAATGAAAGCTTGCAAAATTTCACAAAAATATACAGAACATATTAGAAGTTATAGCGTTAAAATTATAAAGGTCAATTTGAGGTCACAAACCCAGCCAAATTAACCAAGTCCATAGCGAGAGTGTTAATCTATATTACATATTACTAGTGGTTATTTCTGCCTGTTTCAACATTCAGTGTAAAGAATTGATAAGAAAATTGGGAGAAATAGCTTGTTTTCTATATAAAATATATGAAAACCACAGTGATAACTAATGGGAACAGTTGCAACATTGAAGGTATTTTTGTTTAAATTTTTTGTGTGATCCAATGTTATCAGTGACTCTTTAAACAACAAAGACATGGAAAAATAAGCAATTTTGTCCATAAAAAGTTTAGAAAGAAAATATGGTCAAATATGGACCCTATCATTAATTCTAGGGCTAAACATATCCAAACCAAAACTTTACAGCCATCTCCTCGGGAACTCCACAAACCTCTACCACAATGGTATTCTTCGGTTGAGGAATGGTTGATTATGACAATAAGACTAATTTCCAAAAAGCCCCATTGTCAGTAGTCATGATGTAAGTTGTGCTTGAAAATACAATACTGACCACCATGCTCCCTTGACCACACCCCCAGCTAAGGCTTTCTGAAAATAGCCCTCAACTGTCAGAACTCAGGAACCACTTTTTAAACTAAAGAGAGCCCTCGGTTACTCCTTGGAAAATATTAATATAAACACTACTGTTAGGAAATAGACATGACATAATAATCAAAAATAATGTCAGCAACATTGAACAAATGCTATGGTGGCATCCTCTAGTATCATTCTTAAAAACCAGCAGAAAGCACTATCGATGGTTCCCTATACAAGTTTCCAAACTACATTATCAGTATTTTACACAGTCCACCCTACAGTATTCAAAATATTCATTCTAACTTATTAATCAACAAGTATAAACATTTAAGCTGAACACTTTGTCACAAGCTTCAACAATAACTTTAATACACTGATTTTTAAACATTAAAAAATATTAGTTTTATAAATTCTCATTCAAAAGTCTAGTTTCCTTCAGTAGCACAAGTCCTTGTAGATGCAATGTTAGATGTTAATGTGTAGATATAATGTTAGATGTTAATTTGTAGATGTAATGTTAGATGTTAATGTGTAGATATAATGTTAGATGTTAATGTGTAGATGTAATGTTAGATATTAATGTGTAGCTGTAATGCTAGATGTTAATGTGTAGATATAATGCTAGATGTTACTTTGTAGATGTAATGTTAGATATTAATGTGTATGTATAATGTTAGATGTTAATGTGTAGATGTAATGTTAGATATTAATGTGTAGATGTAATGTTGGATGTTAATGTGTAGATGTAATGTTAGATATTAATGTGTAGCTGTAATGTTAGATGTTAATGTGTAGATATAATGCTAGATGTTACTTTGTAGATGTAATGTTAGATATTAATGTGTAGATGTAATGTTAGATATTAATGTGTAGATGTAATGTTAGATATTAATGTGTATATGTAATGTTAGATGTTAATGTGTAGATAAAATGTTACATATTAATGTGTAGCTGTAATGTTAGATGTTAATGTGTAGATATAATGCTAGATGTTACTTTGTAGATGTAATGTTAGATATTAATAGTACAAAACGAATGTTTTTTGGAAAAATCTTTTTTATTTGTAAAAGGAAGAATCTAAACTTTTTTAATCTCTTAAAAACCATTGGAAAATATTAACACTAATATTTAAGGTTCATCAGTGTTATTAAATGATGTTCCAAGTTTGGTTTGAATTTCACACAAAGCTACATGAGGGCCATCTGCATAGCTGTCCCTAATTTAGCAGTGATAGACTAGAGGGAAGGCAGCTAGTTAACATCACCAACCATCAACTCTTGGATGACTTTTTTTACCAATAAATAGTGGGATTGACCATCACATTTTCATGCCCCATGACTGAAATGGTGAGCATGTTCAGTGATGAAAATTCAAATCCAAGACTCTCAGGTTGCGAGTCCAGCTCCTTAACTACCAGACCATGTCAAGTCTGATGTTCCAACTCTAAATAATTAAAGCATTACGGTTATACCCCTTATGTTAGAAAAAAATTATAATTAGTTTTCTATAATTTAAATCCAGTAATGTTTACCACCAATTGCATCAATCATCAAATAACCTTAAAAAAAAAGATATAGATACTTACATTTCCATCAGAGGCCTGAGAAGATTTATGGAACAGCTTCACTTTGGGACTAATGCGCACACCTTTAATGTTTCTGTTCATACTGCAAAAATCAGCAGATTTCACAAAACCAGCTGAGAGTACAGCATTAATAACACATGTTAATAGGTCCACTTGATTCTGTACAGGCATGCCAATTATAGTTTGTTTTAGTTGTTCCACAAATGAATTGATATCTACACCACATTTTTCCTGGTTTTTTACATACAAGTTACATTCTTGGCCAACACCTGTGCTACAGACTTTTGCTGGTACCACAGGTTCGGGATCAGTGCATGATGAGATTTCTGATGGCAAAGCTACTTCAAAAGTTTTATCACTGGATTTTTCTTCTTCTTCCATTAAGTCAACTTTTCTATTTGCAAGCTGATCAATCACAGTCACTTTAAGATTTGGTTTCGGGTGTCCTCCTATTTCTTGTAGCATTGAGAACAATTTAGCAATGCCATCAAGATCACACTGCATGTCACCACTTCCATCATGCCCCCGAGTTTCACTCTGTTTATTTTCATCATCATGGTTAATTTTTGATCCATCCGTATGATGTAAATTACTGATCTCCAGATTATGAATTAAGGCATCTATGAGATTATCAGCATCATAGTTTATTACTTCATCACACGAATTTCTAGACAAATGATTTTTGTTTTTAGAACTCTCCAGTGTGTCAACATCTAACTGGTTACTTTGACCCGTGAGCTTGGAAGGCTTACGGGTATCACTTAGAGCATAGAGGTAGTCTCCGACTTGAACAAACTTCATGCTCTTTAACAGAAACTTGGTTATACCTCCAGATTCATTGATTAAGTTCTGATCTTCTGCAGGAAAAGATAAAATTTCTTCAAGAAGAAGAGGATCATCTATAAGTTTAGGACCACTAGACTTTAAGAAATGTTCCATGTATCTGTAAAATTAAATGAAAGAATGCTACATATCATTTCTCCTGGATTACAATTCGTATTTACCACAAACTGCTGTAAGTGTGACTACAAAATAATATATATACATGTATTTTTATATACATAAAAGCAGAGAGCTAGCATTACGCAAAACTGTGGTCTGTTCAAGCTAAGCATTCTTGTAAAATTGACAAGAACTGTTAAGTGAAATATCAATTTTGATGCCCTTTAGGGTGGTCACCCTGTATGGGGGAATACGTTGATCACCTCAAGGGTTGGCCCTGCAAAAAACATAAAGTTAATAAAACTTCAATGAATTAGTCAAAGAATTATAAACTTAAATAAAGTGTCAAAACTAAAACAGAGACATTCACCAATGGGTGGAGAGAATACAAGAGAGTTGGGATAAATAAGCTAAAAAAAAAGAAAGCAGTAAAAAAACGTTTAGGGATATTCTGAACAAATAAAACAAAATACTTAAGAAGGCACATAATATAGAAAAAAAGGGCAAAAAAAAGGAGAAAGAACAAACAACAAGAAATATATTTGTTCTCTTCTCATATATATGCATAACATATTAACAATATAATTAAAAGAGTAACATTCATTCATGCATGCACGGGAAGCTTTTCAAATTTAATTTAAATTATGCAAAAATAAAATTAGGAGTATAGAAGTAGATGAACAGCGTCACCAAATTAAAAACCAAGGGGTGGGTGTAGATAATACTATACATTGCAAAGGGAAAGGTATTTGGGATCTGTCATCCCTCAGTACCTTATATCAGACAGCATTGTTTACACGTTAAGGTTTTGTGTGTGAATTTCTTCATCTGTTTATAGAGTGCCAGTATCATTACCCTGTTGAGTTTTAATACTTGCTTCTGATATTCAGGTTTTGTAAGTCTAATGACTCTTACTAGGTAAGTCAACTGGTTTGTTATTTTTGATCAGACTATTGAGCTCAAAGTGTCTTTTGTACTAGAGGTGTTTGGTGGGTATCATGTGTTAGGGAATAGGTTTAACCTCACAGTCACTGAGATGGTCAGTAAATTCATTTAGGAGTCTACATACTTAGCCTCACATGTGAGTAATCTAAGTAGGTCACTTAACTGTTTTATGTAATTTTAATACACAGAAATGTCTCCATGTTTTATAAACTTTGTGCATTCATATACAAAATACATAACTGAAAAAAATGTTTCATACAAGAAGCACAAGTTTTTTCCCCTATTGTTATTTAATTTGATACATCACAACATTATGGATGTACTGAGTTCCAATGGTTGTAGGTTAAACGTTTCTTAACTCAAACTGTATACTAAATATACGGTGATGCTTTTAACAAAAAGTAATTTTCAAATCTTACCATTAGCATGTCAGCAATAGTAGCAAGATAACTGCAATGTTATATTATTTAAAACACACTAATATAATAATGTTGAAAAAGATTTAAAATGCACCAACTATAACAAAATTTAATCTTTTATTATTACAAAACAAGAAAGTCAATATAAAGGAGGTTACATGCATCAATTACCATAATCGTCTAGTAAAAAAAAAAGCATTCTACAATCTCCAAAACATAAACAAGAAAAATTATAATTACCAGAAGAAAAAAAAAACCCTTCAGAACCATGATTGCAAACCCAATGAAGTAAATGAATAGTTAAAGACCTTTATGATTCTACATGCTTCAGCACTTGATGCATCTATTTAATGGTCAGTGACCCCAAAAGAATGAATGGGAGCGCCTCAAAACATTTCCCATGATACCTCAAATGAACAAAATTTTTTATCACGCTTGTAACAATTCCTTTAAATCTCTGAAAGCATATTTAGTCATTCTGACCGTCAAGCATGCATGTCACGACCTACTTCAGAGTTACATCCAAAATTTAAATAATGCACTTTATTACAAATGTATGACAATAATCATGGCATGAAAACGTAGTTTACATTTTAAATTTTCAAACTATATAATTCTGAATTCCTTAATACGAAAAAGAAATATTTAAATAAATTCTAAATCTCCACTTTTCTGTATCATATCGCACGTCTTTATTCCAAACTGCCCATTTTAGGTTTCATTTCTACCCCTATATGATTTTCTAAGTTCCCACAAATTACACACTTATACTGTACATATTCCCAAGCTAAAATATAAATTTCTAGCCTCTAAGCTTCTTGCTTTACTGAGATATACAAAATTAAATGAAACACACAAGCCACACCCTTCCTAGCACATCTTGTCTCAAAAAATAAAAATGACATTTCCTATTGGATTATTTATAACCAATAGAAAGAGAAGATTTTAATATAGAGAATTTCTACAAGAACAGAATCATTCAGCTGACAGGGATTTAAAAATTCAGCATCAGTTTTATTGTTGAAGATCAGCTCAACCAGTTTTAACGATTATCTTAACACATTTATAGTTTAGTTAGAAACCCAGTTAAATTATAATAGTTTTTGAGACATACTATTTTTTGTATATTTTTGCATTCTAAATTGCATATTTGAATTTTTTTAAATCACTTGTGGGGCATGATTATTGATAGTAAAAAAAATAGGGTTACTGTGCATCAGGAACTTTGTTCTTACGAATACCAGAACTTTAAAAAGACAAGATTCCAGACATAAGTACTAAATTTCTGGGTTTTTTATTTATTGTTATAAAAGTAACTAAAATGTAAAAAATAGAAAATTATTAGTTTAGGTAGGAAATGAAAAACTTAAATAAATAAATTATTCATGACAGCACACTGTGAAGCACGAGCATGACTGTGTAATTGGACATGTGTGCTGATTTCATTACAGTTAACATTAAGGTAAAAAAAAACCCATATAAAATATAGAATTTTACTGAAAAACTTTTGATATTCATTTAGGAGTTCCTAGAGGTTATACAAATGAAATCTGAAAATATAAGATGAATGTGAAAGTCACTTTACACTCAGACTAACTCATTATAGGCTAAATAAATTCACAGACAAATCTTTAGCACAAAAACCATGTTCAAAATCAGATATTTTATGTACAACATGTGATGATACACTCGGTAAATTCAGTTATAATATGGTTGATTTATAAGGTTGGTAATATTGACCAAGCCAATAAACACAGAGTTAATACAATTAGTAAACTGTCATTCAAAGCAGAACTTAACAAGTGCAAACTGTGTTTACGAAACACCTATACCCCCACAAATGTTATGCAGAATATTTAAGCCTCTCAATTGGATTACGTAGGAGCTATTCACAAGAATGAAGTGGATTTTCTATGTACCAATTACTTTCTGACTTTCATAATTTAATCACGTCTAGAGCCTTATATGTTGTGTAAGTTTGGTCAATGAACTTTCATCTGACATTGAAACATCATGTCCACAAGGTTAATGAAGATTTTCTATGTGCCTTTCATTGACCTTTATCCATGACCTTCAAGAGCTAATAAAGTCTGAAACTTTGTATATATTAATTATTACACGCTTGATCAAAATTCATGTATCCACTCTTGAGATATCCTACCCAAAAAAAAGACATCATGATACACAAACATACACACACACACTTATTAGTGGAGGCATGTAATATAGCTGGGGTGGTTTTAATGTCCACAATGGAAATTATTGCAGAGTGGAAGATATTGGTATACCCCCCTGTTCATTCCTCCAAATCTTGTCACAATCAAATATATCATTATTGCTTACACTACAGAAAGTACAATCGAAGTTATAAACTTCAACGAAACATGTTGATCGAGACCAGCTGTAATAACATCAGACATAAATATTTGATTTGTATGAAATACAAATTTATTATAAATGCAACAGCAACAGTGTATATGTAATATAAACACTAACATCTTATTATAATGAAGCTTGGATGTATACGTCCAAAATTCAGATCTCGGAAACTACTGCACCGATCATCACCAATCACAACTGGGTAATATTTTTATAACTAGACAGTATTTTTATAGCTGACAATACATAAAACAATCGAAATTTCCACAAAAATGATATGTTTCAGTTTTAACCAATAAAAATTACAAAACAAGGAGTAAGTTTCAGATGTAAAACAATCAAAAAACAAACTTAAAAAAATTATTTGTTTTTCTTTAGTGAAACTCGCATGAGTGTTGCAACAGAAAAGCAAGAAACTTTCATTGATAACTGCATCTACAAAGAAATACTTCAATAAAATCTACTGTGTGATGTAATGCTGTGATGATAGCTCATTTTTTAAACTAAAATTTCAATAAAACCCTTTTTCTCATGGATGGTGAATGTTACTGAATGTCAAGTATGAGTACATTGTTGTAGAACTGTCAGACAAGTCCAGAAAAGGCCACAGGCCCAATAGCCTTTTGCAGGAACTAACAGTTATACCTGCCCGGAGGGTGGGTATTTCTGCTAGTACTATTAAAAAAGTAGCTGTGAAGTTGGCAAAATTCTCAGGTGTGACAAAAAAAAGGACCAGTTTTATGAATGTTAGATACAAGCTGCTAATAAAACAACGAAATAGTTCATTTCAAAACTGAATTAAACACAAACTGCTAATAAAACAATCAAACAACTGTAAATAATTCAAATGAGAGCACTAGAATGAAAAGAAATACATACGAGTATATTGCTTCTTTTCTATGCATAACTGTGTCTGACTTCCCTATTCCATCATATGATATTAACACCGCTTCTAGTGCTTCATAGTTATTCTGCAGATCTTGTGGGATAAAAAATGGTTTTTCTGGATCAAGCTGAGGTATTCTAAGAAGAATAAAAACCAAAATTAAGAAAAGCATTTAATTGTTCAAAATTTTCCAAACTACTACAGTAATGATTTTCAAATCTAGAAATAATGCATTTGATTGTAAGCTATATAACCAAAACTAATGACTATATTTTAGAATACACACGCCACGAAAAGTTTAACAATAATATTTTCAGTTTTTAACAGCTCAAAGAGGTGTTAGCAATTTGACTGACCACGTATCCTTTTTTGTACTCGATTGAAGTCCTTATAAATTTAATACTTCTAACTTTCAAGATTGTTTGTATATCTTCACAAAATTTGGCAGTCTTTCAGTTAATATTATAAGTCTTTCACATACAAAAAATCATATTTTTAGTGAAGTATTTTTAATAAAATAAAATAAAAATTTGTCCATGAATATCTTGAGTGTTTGTTTTGAATACTCTGTATGCAAAGTAATTTTCATGTTAAAATTAAAAATACTTTTCATCATCTCAAAAATCTCATATTTCCTTTGCATAACCCCTAAAACCTCCTAAATGAATTTCAAACAGTTTTTTTTTTCAGTAAAACTTTATAGTTTATCTGTTATTTTCTCTATCCTATCTCAAAATGGGATCGGTGAATTCGACCGACCTCATAACCAACAACAACAGCAAAAAAAGAATGAAATAAACCTAAATTACCCTTTTTTTATTTCTAGAATGACTTGAAATTGTAACATGAAACTACATTCGTTTATCGTAAGTAGCTCTAAGTTCGTAACATTATACATCTATTTATAATTAAATTTTATTGCCCTTTAAACTGTGTTTAACTACTATCCTCACCATTATACATTGTAAATCCCTCGAGGAACGTGCAGCTCACGTTACACTATTGAATTACATTACTCATGAGCTGCTCACGTGCGTGCCTCGTGAACCATTTTAATTATA